GGTGGTTGCCACAGGGCTAGGTCGTTTTTATTTCTCTCTTCTGACCTGTTCACCCATAGCTAGTGACTTGTAGGCACTTCCCATTACACACCTGCGTAGCTGTGCTGTCTCTGCACAGGGGCTCCCCTTCACCTTCTCCAGAACCTCTGCAGAGGCAGAAATACGGTGTGTGCTGAAGGACTCCGGGCAGAATAATTGCTTTCAAAGTAAAACAAACTCTGAGACCTGCGGTGCACTGTCTGTCTGTCAGATGTAGCTTTGTTAAATCATTTCAGAAGGTAGACTAGAACATGCAGTGCACGTTGCAGAGCAAACAGGGAAAATGCTTGGGGAAAGAGACTGGCACAATTTTCTCACAGAACTTTCCTGCTCTGAGTGCCTTATTTACACCTGCTGAAATGGTTTCATAAAATTATTTACAAATTTATGAGCATTTTAGCCATCTTCTTTTCTCCTGGTTATGTCACTGATTTTTCCCACCACTCACCTGGGTCTCACTTTGCACAGCTGCTGTCTGCACAGTGAGATTAATCCTGTTTTGGGATCTGCAGAGGAGTGTTTAAATTCATAATTCAAATGGATACAGCTCCTGTAGCAGAAACTGTGAGGAGGTTCATGAATTTCTATTTGGAAGGGATTCATTCAATGAATATAATTTCCTAAACTGGTGACGTGAAGCAGAGATGAAGCTTAATGTTTAGGTAATTAAAATATGTGCATTCCCCCTAGAACATGTCAGCCCCACCCTGGGTGCCCAGGTTTCCTTTCGGATGCTCTTCTCTGCCATCCTTGTGTATTTCAGGAGCAGAACAGCAACGCCTCCAGGTAGGCAATGTCCCTTACCTGTTATGTTGCGTACAGAAAAACTGGACTGAAGTTATCACAGGAGGAGAACTCCCTCATGAGTTCAAAACCTGCAGTTCCAGTCAGGAAATGGGTTTCCAGCTTCTTCACTGTGTATTTTGTGCTTTGTGCTTTCTTCCCATATGTGTTTTTCAGGCTTATCTCATAAAGGATTGTAAAACTGTTTGCAAGATTTTCCTTATAAGGAAGGTAGTATATAAAACCAAAATCACCATATTTAGACGTCTGCAATAATTTGAAAATAAAATGCGTCCAAGTGATCACAGAAATCACACAGTGTACAAAGTAAGCAGCAAAGCTACCTGTGAAGGAAGGTTCTTTCTTGAGCCCTGAGGCGAACAACTTAAGGCTGGAAGCATAAGCCACAAATCCTGCTTGTTAAGCTTATAACTCGCATTTTCTTTCAAAAGGAGAGGTTTGTAAAAAGCGCCTTGGCGACTTGCCCTTCTGCCCCAGCGCCCCCGAGCCTCGCCGGCACGGCTGCGCAGTGGCTGTCTTTTTGTGTCTGGCAGCCAGCCTCTTGGTGGCCTCGGCTTTGGGTGGAGGAGGAGGAGGGAGGGAAGTAGGGCTGGTAAGAGTATGGCCTTAAAGCTGGGAGAACAAAATGTTTTTGCAAGTCGAGATTATTTTATACTGGCTGTAGGTGGCTTGGTGGAGGAATCCCTAGTTTAAAACCAGGGGGCTTTACAGAATATTAGCATTACTAATTTTTAACAGCTCTCTCTGGCTTTATTGTCAGTATTTGAGATTCTGTGCTGCGCTAACCTTGGACCTCGAGGGGAGCTGGACAAGCTGGTGCTAAGCCACCATTTTCCCTTCTTCTTATGTGTTCCCTGGGGGTTGGATACAATTTATGAATATCCCAATTTCTCCAGGATCTACAGATCTTAGTTGCTGTGATTAAACAGTGTATGGGATGTGTGTAATACGCACCAACAGTGTCTGGCTACAGGATGGGTGACTCAGGCAGGGCCACTTAGATCCAGGGGCCGTGCAAGTAAATCAAACACTTTTGGGAAACACTGGATTTAACCATGTAGCTTAAGGAGTCTGCCCTCGATCAGGTACTTTCTTAGATCATTGGGTTTCTTGCAGCAACGCTGCATAGTGTGTAGGTGGCGTGAATGTCTGGTACACCTCAGACGAGCTTTATGGGCCCACGTTGGAGGGTGGTTATCTGGGGCAGCCGATGGCTAGGACAGAAGATACCTCCGACGCCTGCTTTGTCGAGACCAGAGTCCTGGAAATGCAGGCTAGGGATGTCTGTTGCTGCAGTGGCTTTTTTCATAAAGCCAAGCTCTCCTCTGTTTGATTTCGAATTGGATGAAAATAATCTTTGAAAATATTTTTTGAGAAGATGTTATAGCGTGCCTGAGAGTATGCCAGTGGCACAACATTTACTCAACCTTCTAGCATTAGCCCTTGGTAGAAAAAAAGTCCCTGATCCTGCTGGATTAAAGTCAACACAACCTGTGGATTTTAATGTGAAGTTTAATGGATTTTTAACCTAAATAAATAGAATTGCTGGAGGCTGAGAAAAGTTCTGTGATCTGTGTTATATATCTATGCCAGAAGTTCAGTCGAGAGTAGTATTCTCCTAAGTATTTAGTAGTATTTTTCTAACTATTTTCCTTTGGTTTCTTGTCTAATAGCCATAGGAAAAATATAATTCTGCTGGAAAGGTAGGTTTATTAAGCACAACAGTACAGGACTATCAGGTGTTTTGCATTCCAGCATTGCAAAGCAGAGCTTTAGAAGATGGAGAGGAGAGTTGTGCTTGCTTCTGTCCTCCATAGTCATCCTGATCCTATAAAACGGCTCCTGTTCTAACAGGGTGGTCTTGACAGTAAATGAGAAAAAAGAAAGCAAATACAGTCAGCTTTTTTAGGATTTTGTTACATGGTATGCAGCTGGCTATTCAGCTGAATAGTTTTAGGCTGAAAGTAGTAGCTTTCCATCTAATTGCAATCTCAGGCTACAAGTTCACGTGCAACTGCCCAAGCAAAAGCCTTATATAAAGCCTTGGGAACGCCCGTAGCATCTTGTAAATGATAGTTTGCAGAAAATAGCATATATTTAAAAAAAACACATGCAGCAAGTAGCTTTTTAAGGCAACAGATGAATTGTCAGAAAGTTGGGATCTAAAGGTGCATTGGGGATGCAGTGGGTTCTCCTGGCTGGCTGTTTTAAACTTTAAGATGGGATAGCTGATACAGTGCTCTCTTTTTCACCCATGTGGCAGTGTGCGGACAAATGGGGCGTTCATGAAGGTGCAGAGTTCAGAGCATGGGGCTGGTCGTTCCCTCCCTCCTTGCGGATGGCGAGGCGGGGGTGGGAGAGTGCCTGAGGAGGATTCACAGCCGCATGCCTGCAGACTTCACCAGATGCAAAACTTACTCAGATTCCATTCTGACAGAGCTAATGGAGGAAGAGAGGGATGCCGGGTGCCAAACAGCTAATTTCACTTTCCTGATCTGTGAACATCTGTGGAATTTCCCTGGGCTCGGTCTAGCTTCTGCTTGACTAGAGGAGTCCTGTTGGAGCTGTCAGTAAGCAAACATGGTCACCTTCTCATGCCGACTTCCACTCAGGGACTTCAGTTCCCTTTCCGTGCTGTAAAATCAGCAGAAACAGATCTGCAGACTACGCGTAGTCAGGCAAAATCCCCAAGATGGGCAACGACCCTGTGTCAGCCCTGCTTGCTAGCGGGCACACGGCTGCCATGGCCAGCAGCACAAGCCAGCTCGGTCATGTGGCAGCAGAGTAGGCTCCTCTCTCCTCTAGATCCTGCAGACTTTCTGGGCACTGCTTCGTGGCAGTCAGAGGTAGTTTCCTGTTTAGTATTAAAAGGCTGTATTTCCAGAAAATTATGTCTGGTTTTCTTTTTATGTATTAAATCTTCAGAATGTTTTGTCACCCTTTCTGTAAACAAAGGGCATAGGAAGTACAATTTCACGGAGATAAGAGATTTGCAAGTAGGCTGAGGAATGTGTGAACAAAAAGACCTCCAGTATTGGGAAATAAATCCGCATCCGTTTGTGTTTTCTTGGAGCGTTTATACTACTGTGGTTGCTTACTCAGCTATGGTGGCCTTTCGGTTGCAGTATTCACTTTGCAGCAACTTCACGAGGGGCGGGACTGTCTGAGAATAAACTAGCCATAAGTAGGTTCCCCCATGGTTTCACATGCAGATCTACCAGCAAAGTGTAGTTCTCAGTACTGACAACTGTAATTTCTTCCTCTATTCTAATTGGAGTTTTCCCACTGACTTCAGCTAGACTCGGTGTTAACAGTATGTGCCTTTTAGGCAGCTGGCTTGCAATCTTAAATTAGATACCACCAGTGGGACTCACCTCATCTAACTTGAGGCAGCTGAAACCCGTTGGGCGAGTTGTTCGGGAGAGTTCCTGACTCTCTCCATCGACTGCAAAAGGAGCCTGGATGACCGGGTCCTGGAGTAGATGGTTATGTCCTAGATGTTTGAAGGAAGGTGGTTTGAATTCTGACTGTTGACAGATTTCTGTGCGAGAAACAGACCTTGCTGAAATGTAGCTGAATATCTCGGTATTCTTAGCTCAGAGAATGCTCTTTTAATGCCAGATTTTCCCTGTGTATTCTTCCTGAAGGTAAACTTTGGGAAATTGCACGTGAACTTATCTAACAGATTGTGTGATTATGTAGTGAAAATAACACATTACTCTCTTGTTTTGATTCACTTCTGTCTGGCAATTTGACTTTCTCCTATATTCTCTAGTGATAAGGATGGACTTAGCTGTTTTATTGGAGTATTTCAGAATTTATCCTGAAAGTGGTTCCTTCTGGAGAGGTTAATGTTTCCCACTTGAATGGTTTTGAGGTAGTCCTCAGTTCTGTTACTCTGTTTCTTCTTCCCTTTTTCTCACCTTCAGATTTCTCCTTTCTAGTGTTTGGATATTTCATTAACCTGACATCTGTTCTGTTTTAGGAGAAACCTGATGCCAGCCCCACATCTCTACAGCTGCGATCCCAGATTGAGGTTAGCACTTTCATTTTGACCATCCATTTTTGTTTGTTTGTTCTTTAATTTGATATTCTGCATAAATTGGGCAAAGGCTGCTCTCGTGTCTGCTCTGACTGCTATGTGTATTCTCTTGCAGGAGTCACTTGGTCTCAGCAGCACCGCATCAACACCCGACACAGAAAGAAAGTAAGTGAAGGCACAGGAGGTGAGAAAAGAGGGAGGGGGAATTTGGTGCATGTCCTTTTTACTTGGAGTAAATTCGTTTTAGATTGTGTTGGTGTTTCAAGATTTCGGATCCAGCTGCTGTTAGTGAAACCCATTTTGGAACCTGTTCCTTCTCTCATTCTCTTTTGGCCTTTTATTATTTTCTTTTTCTCTTCTCTGCGAGCGCTTGGGGTGTGCATGCACCAATACAACCGGTAGTCATTTTTGAGGAACATTATTGATTTCACGTTCCCTGCAAATTAAACCTGTGTGAAAAATAACTTTCTGTGACTAGACCTACATGCAGCCAAGAAGAGATAGGAGAGGGGAAGGGAGAGATACAAACTTAAACCACTTTCCTTTTCCTGTGCACTCCTGGGTTTGTAACTGTGCTTTGAAGAAGGTGCCAAGGGAGTGAAGTATTTAAAACCAAGTTAAAAGGAGCTTTAATTTTAGCAGTCCTTAATAAAAACCTCTCTGTGAGGACTCAGAGGGTTTCTGTTTACTGTCACCTCCTGCTGCAATGTGTGTGCTTGTTTTCTGCACCTCCTTCCTTTTGATCCCAAGATCTTGGATCCCTGCTGGGAAGGGTGGCGTGCAGCAGTGCATGAAGATGACTGACACTGTATTTCCAATTGCCTGCACTTCGTGGGGCAGTGCCAGCTGGACTGGCTCAGAGGGAGTACATGGAATCCAGTTGTGATGTGATGTGCTTTCCTAAGGTTTTACAGTCCCACATTTGAGTATCTCCTAGTGATTCAACACTGGACTGTAATGGGAAGGTTGTAAGAAGTTGCCACCCTTGCTCGTTCAGCAGAAGGCGTGTCGGTCCCAGAGGGAGCTGTGCTGGATGCAGGGTAGGGGCTCGCCTGAGCGCTGGCCATGTTGAAGTCGGGGCTGTGCTGGGGAACAGCTGCTGAGGGACTTCTTGTGGGAAAGCAAATTCATGCTAAAGGTCTTGGAAAGCGATAAATTGTCTGTTAGAGGTGCCTTGTCTCTCTTAATCACTCACAGAGAAAGCAGTGGTGGTTTGCTTGAGGTAGATGCTCATTTTCAAAACAGCTTAAGACAGATAAGGTGAATTTTACCTTGGGTGCCATCATTGCCCCCATGTTACATGCTGTTAACAGAGAAAGCCTAGAAGGCTTAGAGTTTAAAAGCGGTGCTTCAGATACTGAAGCACAGAAAATTTTTCTTTCAGCATACCTCCCTGTCTAACTTTGTAATGAAACCAGAAGTGCCAAGTGGATGGGAACATTGAGAACTGTAATCTGGGAAGTAAGCCTCCAAGGTTATCCTAGAAACATAATACTTTTCTCTCAGTCTCAAAGCATTTGCCCCATGAGTAAATATCATCATCCCACCTCAGGTAATAATGAGATAAAGATCTCGCAGGAGGACAGCATACAACTGGGAATAAACTCTGCTTATAAGTTCTAGCCAGTTTCCTAAAATATGTCTCTGTGTGGGTGTTGTACCACAAATAACTGAGTGAGAAGGCAGCATCTACAAAAACATCTTCCGAGTGACTCTGTTCTGAGAGAGCCCATTTACCTCACTGAATGGAAATTAACCTCATTATTTTAGTTCAGGTGGAAGGGACCTGAGATGTTTGTGGACCTTTCAAGAATGGAAGTGTCGTGTTTGAGGATTTGTGAGCTGAAGGGCGCACATGATTACCCTGATCAGATATAGGAAACTGGCACAGGGCAGGTTGTGTCAAATATTTGCGCAATAAGAAACAAGGCAGCGTGATGCACGCTAATTGGGCAAGGTGTTGAAAATAATAAATGATATCTACTCAATTCTATACAAATTATTCAAACCTGAAATTATGCAGGCCTGTGCCTACTAGTGACAGCCTGCTGCAGCAATGCCCGTTTCATCCCTCTAGCTTGGAGGGCCGAATTGATGTGGGAACGCCTCTTCCCGGGAGGCAGAGTTTATAAAATTGATCTGCAGGGAAATGACCTTCCCTTCAAGTCCATCTGATACGTCTCTACTTGCTACTAACATGTTGAATGTGATGTTTTTCGGGGGAGGGTGGCATGTTGGCACCAGATGGTGTTTTGGGTTCGGTGTTTAGTTTATGGCTTTCATCAGAATTTGTTACATGGGCATGCTACGAGGCAGGAAAGCTTGTCCCTTTTGGGAGACACTGCTTTTGTGGCCCCTTCATGCTGCATGGAAGATCTGGGGGAAACGTTTTACAAAACGTCTTTTGTTGTAAGGAGACTCCAGTTTGCCAAACCTGAAACTTGATGCAGATGTGTATTGGTTTCTCATATTTGTGAAGAGATTTGGGTTTCAAAAGGAAAAATTTGTCCCATAATAGCCATCCAGATTTTCAGGACCTCACAAATCTGTTGTTGTGAGTACTCTTCCAAAGCTCAAGTAAAAGCTTGCCCAACAAAAAGATGTATTTCTGCGAAAATCCAAACATTTTCCCAGGGTGAGGCAAGGCGAGTTGTTTCTGGCCTGGTGTTCTGAGTGGGTCGCTTCAGAAAGTAAAAGCAGACCCAAGGAAAAACCCGTGCTGGGATGGGGAGGAGAGAGCAAGCGGCCAGCTGGAACATGGTCGCTTGTGGTAGCTCCCTTGCCCAGCGCTGCAGCTTGCCCAGTGCTGGAGCCTGCACAGCCCGCAGCTTAATGCTGCCAAGGTCTGAAGTTTTAAAACAACACACCTGGATGGTTTTTTAATTTGCCAGAGTTGAGAGATTCCAGACAGAAAGAGGCTTTGAGGGAGTCTGGAAGAAGCTATGTTTGTTTTAACCTGATTTGTTTTTCCTTTTCTGCGGTGCCCAGCTGAAGAGAGAGCCTGACAGGCTCCACTGTACACTGTGCTGGAAACAGATTAGCCCTGGTGCTGCGTGGTAGGAAAAAATCCTGTTTATGTGGACAAGCAGTGTGTGCTCAGTCCTGCCTCAGGTCTTGCTAGCTCTGCTGCCTGGTCTGTTCCAAGCCAGCATGACATTAGTCGGTGCCCTCAGTCCAGCAAGTCGCTCAACAAGTACCTGTCTCGGTGGATGATGAGCTGTAGCACGGGAGAGCAGCCGTAGTGCCTGGAGGGAGGCAAAAGGGGTTAAACGAGCCTGGAGGCCGAGTCCCTTGTCACTTCAAGTCGTCATCCCTCCAAAAGGCATTTGGGGCGATCCTACCTTCCTCTGTTGCTGGCAGCGCTGTTCCTGTTAATTAGATGAGGCCACAAAAAAAGCTGCACACGTGAACCTGCGCTGTGCGTTATAAATGCCCTCCCACAGATGGTTTTTATTCGACGGATTCTGACAGAGGAGAATATTTGCTGTAGCAAAAGCCTTTGAGATTTGTGTGAATAACAGCAAGGGTACTGATGTGGCCTGAAAAGCTGTCCGTAAACAACAGAAAACAAAGTCATGCTTGTTCGTGCTTTGCCTCACAATTGCTCTGATTTTTTGGCCATACTGGAGTTCCTTCTGTAAGTTTGAAACAGTTGGGCAGGCTTCCGAGTCATACAATATTCAGCAACTAACGCAAAACATCGAAGGAGATGTTTGTAGCTTTCTTCTCTTAATAATAAATTTCATTTCCCTCTGCCCTTTCCATGATTCCTGTCTTTTAATCTACAGGCTTGCTGTCAGTTGTGGTGCTAGCGTACTGTGCAGATTCTCAGTGTGCCTGCAGTAAAGTGGCAACAGCATCTCTAACAGTGATATTATTCATTTTAAATGAAAATATCCACAGAACTGCAAGCGATCCTGTATAGACACACTGACTTCTGCTTTTTGCTAGGAGAATCATCAATGTAACAAATGTGCTGTAAATGTGTTCTCAGCAGTTACTATTGCTTCTTTGCCTCCATACCATGTTGATCCGGGGATGTATTGTATATACAATCCCTATTATTTCCAAGTGATGGCAACACCCCAAGGATGTTTACTCAGGCAGGGGACCGAACAGGGTTTTCTCAGAATTGTAAACAGAATGTTTAAAACAATGTAATCCAACATTTAGCCTGTTCCCATTTTCAAGCATTCAAGCCTGCAGGACAGACTGATGAGCTCTGCATGTTTGCCAGGAAATCCAGGTTAAACCCAGTCCCCTGAACACAAGCTTCTGCGTCCTGACTCTCATCCTGTTTTTAGAAGAACTGGGGATGTTACAGAGGGGAAGTTGAGTGTTTTCCCCCTTGGGAAATAGATCTGTTTGCTGTCACTGTTCGCTCCAGCGGCCTCTGGGCAAGTTTCACGTGTGGCATGTCAGAGCGCTGCCGGGAAAGAGAAGGAAGTGGGTGAGAGACCCAAGAGCACTGCTCGCAGATAGGATGAGGTACAGTCACTCCTATATACTAATTTTTTTTTTTCTTTGCAGCTGCTAGAGAAAGGAAGGACATAAAACAACACAGGGGGTAGCAGTTGTGGCTGTGTCTGGCGTTTCACAGGCTTTCTTGCCACCTTCGCGTGGCAGTGGGTCTTAGGAATTGTCACGTCCTGCATGAGTCACTTGCTCTTTTTAAACTGTACCACTCAAGTACACTCGTGACCAAGTAAATGGTCAGACTTCATGTGACACAAGTGCCACAGCTCATCCTGCTGTACTCCTCAGCCTGCGGCACAGTCCAGTTCAGGCGTTCTCAACCCTGTGATCCTCAGGACCTAAATCCCAGACTCTGCCAGAGCAGGGAGCAGAGCAGAAACCGACTTGTCAGGCGGAAGGTGCTGGGGAAGAGCAGGCGCGTGTGGGGTGCAGGTGGCACAGGGCAGCATTGCTCGGGGGCTTCGCATTCCCCTGGCTTGGGGGAGCTGCTGGCCCCCAGCAGCTGTGTCCTCAGCTCCCTGCTTCAGCTGCTCCCCAGAGCCAGTGTCCTCGTCATCCTCACTGCGGGTGCAGGGTGCACAGCTTAAACCGAGGCCCTCACACGTAGAGTTCGTGCAGTTTGGCCAGATCCCTGATGGCTTGTTGGGAATGCCAGAGGAGGAGTCGTAGGCTGCTCGGTCCTTACGGCG